GGGCGCGGGGGGGGGGGGGGAGGCCTCTCCGGCCTGGCGCTTGGAAGGAAGGCAGCAGGACCGTTGGGTGCTAGCCGTGGAAAAAGACCCCCGCGCTGGGTCACTGAGCCACGGCTTCAAAATGGCGGCGCGGAGGTGGAGTGGGGTGAATCATCCTCTCCCCCCTCGTTGCTGCCCCAAAGAGTGTGTGGGGGAGGCTGACGAATTCTCCTCCGCCTCTCTTTCCTCGGGAGATAGTAAGCTCGTTTTCTTCGTGCAGTTCCCCACGCATCCCCCTCCCTCCTCTTTCTCTCACGCCTTCATAAGAATATATATATATTCCTCCTTCTCTAGCCTCCGTCTTCCCGCTCCTTCTCCCGGGAAAAAATCTGTTTTTCCCCATCCCTACTACCGCCACATCATCTCTTCTTAAGCAGCCACTGTTTTACATCTCTGGTCCAAAATAAGCAATAGAACAACCATACCCGTGCCAGATTTTATTTTACTTTTCCTTTCTCTCCCCCCCCTTTTTTTTTGGCGTCTGTTGTAAGGGGCTCGTTTCACTTTCTTTCCTCCCCACACCCACTCTGGCCCCTTTTGGACCCAGCTTTCTCTGACAATTGAGAGAGAGTATCCTGTTTGCCCTTTCACGCAGGCAGCCCTGGCACCTCTCTCCAACCCCCACGGGTGATGGCTCGGAGATGGGGAGGAAGTAGTGAAAAGAGTCCCTTGAGTTATGAGACAGAAACTTGCAGAGATCACAAGAGAATGAAAGGGAAGGTATGATTCTGTTCACTGAGAACAGATGTAGCCCCCCCCCCCCAATTTGTCATACTTGTCTAATCTGTGTATAACACAACAAGCTCCCTCAGTTTGGGCCCACCATCCCAGTATTGTTGACTGAGTGGCAGTGGCTCGCTGTGGCTTCAGGCAAAGTTCTTTCCTAGATCTATCTAAAGATCCCTGGTAGTCTTCCCAAGTATTAAAACAAGCTCAAATGGCATAACATTAAAAATCTAGACAAAATTGGTTGTTTCCAATGTCCTATGGTAGGGACCTTGTGTATTCCTCCTATTTCTTCTCTTGTACCTGTCTCACACATTTTAAAGTCATTTTGTGTATTATTTTATCCCAATGGGGTAAAAAAAAATAACATTATGCACTCCCTCCATACTCTTACTGGTTTTTTTTTTGCCTGTTTGTCTTTTATAAGACTTCTTGTGGAAGAAAAATAATCTTTGAAATCTAAGTTTTACAGAGTATCCCTTATGCTGTCCAATATTCAGGTGTCACCTATATCTGCCTTTTAAGCCCCATCTTACTTGGTTGTATTTATATTCTGTCTTTCTTCCTGTGAGCTTTCCTCCTGTACATGCTTTCCAATCTTGTTCGCACAATTACCCTACAAGGTAGACCGTGTTGGGAGAGTGAATGTCGCAAAGTGAGTTTGTTGGTTTTGTTAGAGCTATTTATTTCCACAACTTTAGTGCCCCATTAGTGTTATCACTCTCTGGGCATTTCACAATATACAGAAAAATCACATCACTATATAATAAACTCTTATTGCTGGTTAAAAATACACTAGTATTTATTTATTTATTTTATATCCCGCCTATCTGGTCAGGTCAGGTAGTAGAAGGCAGTTTTACATACTTTTGTCTTCATTAACTTCCTAAAAACAGAGGGATTGTGCCTGGCAAACCTGTAGGAAGCTTATTCCAGGGGAAGCGTTCAAGAAAGCTGGGTTCCTAGTATTGGTGCTTTTTTTCCTCTTTGGGTGTTGCCATTCTTAACACTAAGGACAGCAAGGAGCAGGTGGGACAAACAGCTATTTTGTGGGAGAGACATTCAGCCCAGATACTGAGATCCTAAGCCAATACATTAAATTGAGCATGGAAACTAACAGGGAGCCAATGAAGACATGACAGTGTTACAGTAGATTTTGGAGATCACCAATGGGTGAACCATTGTTAGACATTTCGTATCCAGGTAGGGCACAGCTGGGCAATCAGCCAAAGTTGATGAAAGACACCCTTGGCCACAGCAGATAATTTGGGCCTTCCAAGAGTACCCCAAGGCTGCAAACCTGATTCTTTGGGGAGTGTTAACCCTTCATGGCCAGATACCTATCCCCCAATCAATCTGATACCAGATAACTTAAGGAGCTGCACAGCATCACCTACAGATTAAGTGAAAGACAGGTGGAGCTGTGTGTTACCTGCATATGGATGGCAACAAATTCCAAATCTTCATATGACTTCTCCCAGTGATTTCATACAGATATTAAAAAGCATTGGAGATATGGCTACTCCTTGAAAGGACACTGTAACAAAGGTCCCAAGGGATAGACAATTCCCTTCCAAGCTGTACCATGTGGAATCAGCCCCCAAAGAAAGAACTGGAACCACCGAAAAACAGACTCCAAGTTCAGAACTCAATAGCTGTTCCTGAAGGATACATGGTCATGGTCAGCAATATCAAAGGATGCAAAAGATCCAGGAGGACCAGCCTTCCCCTGTTTGTCTCTCAGGAAATGGTCTTATGGGGCAACCAATGCCATTTGAGTCCCACAGTGTGGCTTGAACCCCAGTTGAAATGGATCTATAGACTATCCATTCCCTCCGAGAACACCTGCAACTGGTCAGCTACCACCCTCTCAGTCATCCTGCCCAGGAATGGAAGCGGGCCTGTAGTTGTTAAGACCACATGTTGCTAAATTAGATTTCTTTGGAATGACCCTTATAATGGTTTCCAATGGGCAAGTAAATGATCCTCCCATAGAGATGCGTTAATGATGTGAATAGCCCATTCCACAATCACTTCCTTTCCTGATGTTAGGATTCATGATGGGCAAGGTTCTAGAAAGGAGGTGGTGGCTTTGCAGCATGCAGGTGCCTTGTCCACATCCTCAGGCCATACCAGCTGGAACTGATCAGCTGGTTGGGAGAGTGAGAACAGACAAAAGACAATATTTCTTTAACCAGCATGTTGTTGCCACAGGATATGGTGATGGTATCTGGCCTAGATGCCTTTAAAAGGGGAATTGACAGATTACTAGAGGAAAAGTCCATCGCGGGTTACAAGCCATGATGGGGATGTATAATCTCCAGGCTTAAAAAGAAGCTACCTCCAAATGCGAGATGTAGGGGAGGGGTATCAGGAGACAGGTATCTACAGTAGTTGTCTCATGTGCTCCCAGAAGCATCTGTTGGGGCCACTGAGATACAGGAAGCTGGACTAAGTGGGCCCTTGGCCTGATCCAGCAGGGGTCTTCTTATGTTCTTATGATCCAATTTTGCCTGACTAAGATGATGCTTTAGACATCTCCATCAAATCTGCTGCTAACAAAAAGGAGTCAAGGTCCTGACGGATGCTTTCAACTGACGGATGGGTGGCCAGATGGATGCAATTCTCAACATTTGAATGAAAACTCTTTTTGTACTGAAAAAATTAGGCCATGATCTACATGGAAGAGTTCCATCTAATAGTTTGAAGCTGACTCTGATATTGTGGCTTCTTTTGGCAGCCTTATTCCAGTATCTTCCAGATGCCTTTGTTACTACCACCAGGTTGAATTCTGTGGAAGCTTTCCTCCTTCTGCTATTTAACCTTCATAATTGCTTTTTCACCTTCAACTCCTTCTGTAAAGCACAAAGAAGACCAGAGGGAATCTAGGGGCAATTCTAGTCTACAGCTTAGTTTACCTCTGAGTACTAAAAGTGTACATGCTTATTTTGACTGCCTGGGAAATTCTTCGAGTTGTAGACTTACAATACACACTTGTAGCAAAAACTGAAGCGAACATCCCACAAATTACAATCCAACCCTCTGACTGCATTTTGTTGGCCTTGTTCTGTCTATTCTACGTATTTGTGACTTCTTTCTGTTTTCAATCATTTCCTTGTGCCTTGTTCCTTATGTCTTTCTAATAGTATTATATATTTTTCTGATCTTCAAGACTGCCATTCTGATCTTGCTGAAACATAACGCATTAGACTGCCCCCTTTGGAGAAATAACTAAGAGCACAACCTTAAACATGTTCAGTCAGGTCAATCCTATTAATTCAAGGGGATATATTCTTTAGCATGTACAGTATACTTAAAAGGAAGGAGGAGGCTGCAGTACCTAAGTAAGCTCTCCATATGAGTCAGAATCCTGATTGGGGGGGCTCTCTAGGTACAGCAGCCTCTCTGTCTTCAAACAGTTGAGTTTCCATGACTACAAAGATGATAGAAAGGGTGGAGCCCTCAACACATGTGGGGCTCCACAAACTTTTAAACACAGCTAATTATGGCTCCACTCTTGGCTGTATTTCCTTCCTCAGCTCATCTGTGGCATGGAAAGATGGCGGAAGATGCCTTTGTCAGATTTTGGGAAACCCTCACAGCTCATTTCATTCAGCGTGGAATGTATGCTTCCTGCAATGTGTCAGTTTCAGAGTTGCCATGGGGTGTAAAGAAGCCCCTTCCCACCAACTTAGTTTTATACAGTACAGCTAAATCTGGACCCATTCCAGTGGACGGAAAATGCTTTGCTATTCCTCAAGAATGGGCAAGGTCTAAAGGCCCAAACACCTGTTGACCACATACTTCCTCACCCACTCTATGTCAAGGTTAAATTTTGTAGTCATGCTAATGAATATGGTTATATCTGGAGATGCTGCTGATTATAAAATACAGATTTTTTTCCTGGACCTTACTGGTCCAGCTTGTAAATGGGAAAGACTGTTTATTGGAACAATTAAAATGGTTCTTTTTGTACATATCTTTGTTGTATGTGCTAAGAATTGTCTTATGTTATCAAAACTCCATTTATTACCCAGGTACGTGGTGCTGTAATACTTGCTGTATGGAATCTTGGTCCATAATATGGGGGAAGAGGAAGGATTGCATCAAACACAATTATTGGTAAGTAACTTTTAAGTGAGTGATTAAAGTTTGTCTAGTAGACATCAGATCCTGAAGCTGAGGCTCCAATACTTTGGCCATCTCATGAGAAGAGAGGACTCCCTGGAAAAGAGTCCTGCTTATTAGGCAGCAGGCCGAGATTACATTCACTTATATCTAATTGTGTTTTAATATTATTTAATTTAGTAGATAAAACCTGTTGTATGATTTTTAGTCTTGTGATGAGCCACCATGTTTCCCAGTCCTTGGGGACAGGCAATATATAAATGAAAAGAAAGAAAGAAAAGAAAGAAAGAAAGAAAGAAAGAAAGAAAGAAGGTTCTTGTGGGTTTTTCGGGCTCTTTGGTCATGTTCTGAAGGTTGTTCTTCCTGACTTTGCGCCAGTCTCTGTGGCCGGCATCTTCAGAGGACAGGAGTCAGAACTCTGTCTGTGTTCTGGGCAGAGTTCTGACCCCTGTCCTCTGAAGATGCCGGCCACAGAGACTGGCGCAAAGTCAGGAAGAACAACCTTCAGAACATGACCAAAGAGCCCGAAAAACCCACAACAACCATCAAATCGTGAAAGCCTTCGAGAATACAAAGAAAAAAAGATCCATTGTTTACCAGCATGTTTCAGATCCCTGATTCATCACAGCTGTTGCTGTTTTTTAATTGTCCCCTTGTATGTCTTCAATTTGTTAAGTGCTGCCTTGCTGTGTCTGGCTTACTACAACCCTAATAGACTTCAAGGTGTCTGAAATGTTCAAGGAATGGTCTACCATTCCTACAACCAACTACAGTGGGGTCTTGACTTGAGAACTTAATCCGTATTGGAAGGCGGTTCTCAAGTCAAAAAGTCTGTAAGTCAAGTCTCCATTGACCTACAGTGCATTGAAAACCGATTAATCCCGTAACAGGCCGTTTTTGTTCTATTTTGGTTTTTTTCTGGTCTGTAAGTCAAATCTCAGTCTGCAAGTCAAACCTAAATTTTGCGGCCAGAGAAGTCTGTAACTCAAAAAGTCTATAAGTCAAGCCGTCTGTAAGTCAAGGGTCCACTGTAGCTTCTATGGGCAAATGGCAATTTGAACCCAGATCTCTTGAGTCCAAACCCAACCATCCAGCCACTGCACCACAGTTGCTCTCACTAGAAAATGTTTAATTGCTGCTGTATTGTCTCTTGTGGAATTACACTTAAACTGGAATAGACCTGCTGAAGCTAATTTGGTTCGGTGTGAGGAATTACGTTTTAACTTACTGACTTTGTAAAGTACCAGTTCTGTGCTATGCTAATTGAGGGACCATCTATTTGCCAGCTTTTTGCCCAGAACTGTATGTGCAAGGCAGTGTGGTTTGTATTATAACTTGACTGTGGTAGAACTCAACAAAAATGGCACTAAATATAGCCAATACTGGTTTCTATTGCAAAAATCAGTGTGATACCTCTTCATGTATGCAATACATTGTATAAATGTTCTCTCTGATCAATAAGAAGGCCATAGCTGAGCACAACCTTTAACACACATACACAGATTTTATACTGATTCATTGCTCCTGTGATACCACAAAGCCTGCTGGTATTCCTAAAAATACTTCCTATGATACGACACTGAAGAAGGGGAGTTTGGAAGTGGCTTTTTAAAATGAGCTGTTCTTCAGTGAAGCTTCAGCCCCATAAACAAAAACATGATCAGGTAAGTCCAACTGTAGCTGAATATTACTGGTGTTCTGTGTATATACTGTGCATTAAAAACTGCACTGGGAATTATTTCAGATTCCTGGATCCCAGCATGCCTTTTTAGTCACAGTGTGGCAGAGGTCAGTAATCAGAAGTGTGCTGTTTCAAACTCCCAGATCTATCTCGGAATTCCCCAAGCAGAATTCTAGAGTTCCAGTTCACAGGCACTCCTACATTTCACTTCCCTGGAACAGGGTTGTGTATCAAACTGTCTTGGGCCTACTTCCTGCAGAAAAGGAGAACTATCCCACTGCTTCCTGGGAGGCCTAAGTAGGAGGTGTAATCTTGCTGTCTATTAGGGTGTATAAAGAGCATCCCAATGAACTACACTTTGAACAAATACCTGGAAACAGTGGGGCAGTCTCCTTTTCTAGAGGATGTAGGTCAAAGCCATTCTTGGAAGACAGGCCCAGTTTCAGGGAAGTGAGATATATGTCTGTGTAGGTAGGTATGTGTCTGTGAGCAGGAACTCAGAATCGTGGGAATTAGAGTCCAAAACAACAAATGGTATGCCCTTATAAGTAACGTATTTTAAGGAATTCTGAATGTGCTTTCAGCATAGGCTTCAGTCCCAAGGACCCCCCTCTCCCTTTTGCACTTCTGCTTTTCTTTATACGTATTTGAGGTACAGGAGCAGGGCTCTTTAACCATGGACTCTGGCAAAGACCTTTCATCATTCTGTGTCTTATTCACACAACAGCAGTCTATGACTATCCAGTTGGAGCTGAACAGACTGAAGTAGCAATCCAGAAAAGATGGAGATAATGCAACACAGTTGATTTAGGGATTAGGTGGGCTTTCCTTCTCCAAAAGATGTTATACTTTCAGTGCAGAACCAGGTTTGAAGACTACATATGTTTTTGTACCCAACTCTGGATCTGATTGCTGAGCTGGCATCTGGCTGGGTCAGCTTTTTGCCACCTTTGTCCAACCATAGCCTTGCACAGGAAATAATCATCCAACCACTTATATATTTCTTTAGATATACAGTCAGAATTAAATGCCATAGAAACTCGTTAACTGGAAGGAATATAAGCTCAAGGTGAAGGAAAGAGGGATAGGTCAGAGGGTTTTTTTAAGCTGTTATAGCATAGGCATCCTGCAGTCTCGAGAGACTATGGTAACATGCTCTGAATCGAGGAGTGTCCTCTCCAGAGCATGAAGCCCGGGTAAGGTAATATGGAGGATAGGCTGTTACCCAAGCAGCAGATCCTCCCTCTCCACATTGCTTAAATGGTCCAATGGAAAGGAGACACATGTCCTGGGGGTGGGGCCTAGGGGTGGGACTTCCTGCTTTAAAAGAGGACCCTGGACCCTTTTCCGTAGGAAGCTGGGCTGAGGGCGAAGGCCAGGTATGTTTGCATGGATGCCTTGCTGAGTTTTTTTTCCTGGGCTTTCTTTTTGTCTCTTGTCTCCTAAGCTGTTATGTGTTCTAAGAAAATAGTGGTAGGAGTAAAAGAGACTTCATAGGGGGAATCAGCTTTGAGGATGGGAAAGACTTTGAAAGTAGTGCTGCCACAGCGCTCTTCAGCCTACCATTTATTTTGGAATGTTTCTGAAAACTAGAGAACCTTTGCAGATGGCATTCAAAACTAGAGAAACAGACCAACATATCCTGTAATTTTCAACCAGCACTGGGCGGAAACCCTGCCTTTGTGTGCACAAAAGTTCCAGTTGCAATCAGAACCAAATGAGCAGCAACACTAACTATGGGTATGCATCACTGATACAGTGCTGTGCAGCTTAGAAGGAACATTGGGACAGGCTGAAACATTCTCCTGTCTTGGTGGAGAGAGTTCATTAAGTTTGATTCTTCATGTAATCTAAAGATGGAACAGAGGCCTATTTTACTACTACTAATGTGAAGACGCTGTTTGCTGGTGCCATGATGTCGGAATGAACCTTGCAGTTAAATAATTCATAAGTTATTCATTGGTCCCAGGACAATTGCCTTGGAACAAAATGACTATGCAGAATCTTCCCCATTAAGATGGCTGCTGCGCTGTATAGATCAAGTCTCACTGTGTTCAGCAATCACATGAAGAAGTGACCTAACAAGCTTTTTTTTCCAAAATAAGTAACTGCAGTATAATTGAGTTGTGAAAAGCTGGTTTGTTTCCATTTCTGGTGTGACTGCCAAATTTTGACTTCCATTTCTAAAATAAGAATTTCTTCTATTAATGTCAGTATTGTAGTCAAGCTGCTTTGATTTGAAAATGGTAAACCTTTCAGAAGCCATGCCTGAATTTATGATATAATAGCATCCTGCTCTTCTTTCAACAGGACACAATGTTTGTTCGCGGACTGAAAAGGAAATGTATTGACGGAGAGGAAGATATTGAAGGAACTTTAGCTGGTTTTAAAGCTATTCCTTCATATAACCTTCAGCGGCAATCGCTGCTGGACATGTCTTTGGTTAAGCTTCAACTCTGCCACATGCTTGTTGAACCTAATCTATATCGTTCAGTGCTAATAGCCAATACAGTACGGCAGATTCAAGAGGAAATGACTCAGGATGGAACTTGGCAAATGATAAATGCACAGAGTTCAGGACCAGCCTCTTTAGACCGTCTAGTTTCAACAGATATCCTGTGCCGTTCCTCCAAGGAACAAGCTGAAGAAAAGCTTATTCAAGGTTATAGCAGCTTCTCAAAAGACTTTGAGGACACGCCATCACAAGAAAATGTAGAGATTTTAAGACCTGCTCCACTACTGCCTCCAAGAAATCTGCAGGCCAATGTATGGGAAATTGAGAGCCCTCCAGATAATAGGGGAAACTTCCATAAGTCGTTAGATCAAATATTTGAAACCTTAGAAACAAAAACTCCTGATTCTGTTGAAGATCTTTTTTCAGAAGTTGACAGCTCCTATTACAATCTTGATACAGTATTAACAGGAATGATGGGAAGTACAAAAATGGGACACTGTGATGTACTTGAAACATTTCCTCAAGGTACTGCAAATTCTAATTCTAATTGTAAATCTGATCTTAATGAGCTTGATCATTTTGTGGAGATTCTGGTTGAATCTTGAGATAAAGGATGAACCCTTTCAGGCAGCCAGATCTTGACTAGTAAAACTTCCAATAGTTTGTCTTCAAAAAGCTGCAAGTGATATCCTTCCCCCACCCACCCAAAAAAGCACTTCTTTTGCAAAGTTGTGTTGGTGTATAAAATTAGCCTGCTATTTGAGTATATCTTTTCAGTGACTCCAATTCTGACAAAGTATTCTATACATGTCTACGAGTTAACATAAGCTCAGTAAGCCTTCCAGGGGTTTTGTTTGTTGGGTTTTTTGTTTGTTTTGTTTTTGTTTTTTAATGTTGCCTTGGAAACTGTTGTCTCAGTGGAGGCCTAACCCATTCTTTAAAAAAATCTGGAAGCTCCTGTATGATGCCCACACATGTTCCCCTCCTTAAAAAACAAAATTGTTTTCCCAATCCTTTCTAGCATTAAGGGACATAAATGTAGCAGGATTCCTTGGTTGATCATCTTGTCTCCCTCGACAAGGTGCCAGTGCTAGATAGGTAAGTCCTTCAAATAAAAAGCATGGCTGTAAAATCCTCAAAACATACTGTCTGGTCTGAGAATTTCCAGATTCCCTTGGTATTTGCTCCTACAGTATCTGTTAATTTTAGTGGGACTACTTTAAGTAATTGGTTTGCGGACCAAAGATTTGGCTTCTCTCTGTGTTTAACTCCAACTGAATACTTCACTGACTTAGATTCTATAAAGCAGTGGTTCCAATCTTCCCAGCTAGCTTTTCTGTCATTCTTATATTCTGTTTTTAAATATAGTTATAGTTTTTAAAAAGTGTTTATCAGTGTTCAAAATATTTCATCTATTTTCTGAAAATATATTTTTGCTACAAATCTTCTGCTGACTGCTTATTTAGTATCCTGGAATATCTGCAGTTGTATTTTTTTAATGACTTTGAAAGGGTTTTTTTTCTCATCATTAGTTTATCTGTATAGCTCAGTAAAAAGTGTATACATAAAAAACATGGATGTAGGGGCAATTGTCAGCATTTGATCTTGAAGTACTATTAATATTAAGAGTCAAGATACTCTTGATAATTGAACATTGGAAAAGATGTCATTTGCCGGAAGAGCTCTTGATGTATTTACACTTTGATTCAAGCCATGCTTTTGTTACATTCAAGCATAAACTATGGGTTTTATTTATAACTATTTATATGTATGTGTCATCAAGTGAATGATTGGGCTGAAGTCTACCATCCTACTTTGTTCTGCTTTTGAGTAGGGAGAAAAACCCTACCTTGCACTAATTAGGACATCACTGTTACAGAGGCCTTTCAAGACTTTCTCCAGATACAATTTTTTCTGCTCATGCCAAGGAATAAATGTATATTTGGCAGAGTTAACAACACGTTAGTATTCTAGAAAAAGATGCATTCTACATGTGAATTGTCTTAACTTCTAAAAGCGGTTTATGGCAAGAAGGTGCATCATACTGTGATAATATTTGCAATAAGGTTGCACTCTTGCCTTGGCAAATGCTATACATACAGAAAAGTAATAATGGGAAAAGGAGGAAAAAACCTGTGAGCACTCTGATCCTTTTCATAAAAGTTTGTGGGTTTTTTGTCTGTTATGGGCTGTTTCTGCCCTTTAACCAGCAATTTTAGCTACTTCACCTCAGTTTGCATTGGTGAGAATTGGAAATACTGCTTTTTAAAACATTCTGATTTCTGCAGTTACAATAGAATAACAAAAAAAAAGTTAAAATATTGAACGCCTTATTGCCCAACAGAGGATAATAGATGCTGCAAGTGTATCTTTGTGCAAAGGGATTACCTTGGGAGCACCTTTGAAACCATGCACAACCAGAAGAATTCTTCCAAGCATTAAGATCCTTGCCTTGTGCATATATAGCTAAGTGTCTTTGTCTTAGTTTAGGTTGCAGCCTGAAACCACTTTCCATGACTAGCCCCACCTGAGCTAAATAGGGCTGCTTACAAGGAAGTGGTTTCACAATTGCAGCCTTAATAATTTAAGTGCTTTTGAAGCAACAGATTTGAAAATGGCATTGTACATTTTTCTAGTCTTGGCAAGTAGATACCTATTTCTGTAACTTGGTTTTGTGCCAGACAATGCAGTTTGTACGGGGACCTTTCTAATGCTTTTGAAGATGATTAATGTTTTTTATATTAAAGCTGACTATGAATTGACTACTTTGCTCTTCAGCTATTTTTCTTTTCAATTCAATAAATTCTATGCTAATCATCAGCTTCCATTAAAGAACAGGACCCTTGAAATGTTTACCACAGGTACTGGTTTAAGAAGGGGTCTCATAAAATTAATCAGTATTATAAGTAGCTGGCTTAGACATGTACAATTTTATTTGATCACTATATCATTCTCCAAGCCATATTGGGATAACACCTGCTCAAAAACCAGTATATATTTTTGTTCTTTTTAAAATCTGATAAAGATGTTATCCTAATACGAATATTGACATTTTTCTGAAAGGCGGCACAGCTTTTTCTGCTGTTGTTATGATCTGCTACAATATAGTGTTATTTTTCCAGTATTTAAGAATGTGACTGCTTTCTCCTTAATAACTTTCAAAAATTTTAGATTTCCCAGAAGTCTGAAATGGAAATGGTTTTATCTGTCTGTTAAAAACATTTTTAAAGGCATATATAGCAAGAAATCTTTGGCTTATTGGCCAGGATCTTATTGCTGATGGTGTGTGTATATAAAAGAAATCAAGTAAGCCTTGATGTCAGATTGCCATTCATTAACAAGGTGCCGTGTGTATTCTTGGGCAAATGTTGAATTACATGATCTGACATATGATCAGGAATGCAATCATTACCTAATTAATGTGTGGAATTTGCCACCAAAGACTTCATTATTCCCTTAATGAAATTAACATTGGCAATAGAATTCTGGCTACTGAATATATTTCTTGCGATGTAGAAAAAAAATACTCCAGAGCAGCCATTCTCAATCTTTTTGGCCACAAACACAACATGGAAGAAATATAGGCCAAATCAGGATTGTATATGTCACATAAGGAAACATATACGGTGGTGTGTGAATATTTGTTTCCAGTCTGTGATCCCCAAAATGTGTCAGGAGACCATATCCCCCACCCCCTGCCATTGAGAATGGCTGCTCTAGAGCAGTGATACCCAACCTTGGATCCTCAGTCTTGGACTGCAATTCCTGGTAACTTTAATCACTGGCTGTGTTGACAAGGGTTTCTGGGAGTTGCAGTCCAAAAATAGGGACCCAGAGTCTTGAACTTGTACAACATACACTGCCTGCCACGTTTGCATGAGATCCTCTTGAAGCATCAATATGTTCCACTGTCATAGACAAACCACACACAATCAGGCAATTGTGTTCCTAATGGCAAGTACATAAGGCAAGAAAAATTCCCCAAGTTAACTTAATTACTCCCAGATGAACTAAAGGAGCAGGTTACTGTGAAAAATCATGAATTCCAAGCAAACATTTTCTAGAATAATGAGCAGATAAACACCGAACAGATTTAACTGATTGGTCCATTTTAATAAGTTTGAATATGACTTAATTTCTTATGAGTGCATATGCCTTCTGGTCACTTTTTAGACTATGTCACACTTTTTTACTTTCTGACTAGTGATTTTATGAGTGTGTTCAAGAACAGGCTGGGGCACATCTGTGCAACATACACTCCTTGTTTAAAGAAACAACTTACATTGTCAGTTGCAGCAAAACTATAACCGCTGACTGATAAAATGAACTTGGCTCAAAAATACTTTTTGCCTAAAAATGTAATAGATTACAAAGTTCTTGTTAGCTGTTCGTTCTCCCTAAGAAAGTAGATTAAAAGAAACACCTGTAAAACACAGATTAGAAAAAGACAAAGCCATTCCAACTGGCTTTTTTGTGAGTGCAGGTTCTATATGATCTGAAGCCCAGCTATTCTGGATGGTATCTGTTGTAAGGACTAGTAATAGCTCGTGGTGCCTTTGGATGGTACGAAAACTGCTTAAGTGGTAAGGCCACTTCTTGGGTACTTATAAAGGATTTTTTTTACATCTGGCCTGACCCCCAGCCTGCAACATAAATACTGCTTTATAGCAGCAGTTGAAAACATCTTTTTTTTAAAATAAAAAAAACTGAACAGAGAAGATTTCAATCATACTGACAAATGGTTGTGGAAATAGAATTATTTTAGTTGGTTATTAAATGCTGAGTCAAGTTCTCCATGTTATCTACTGCTTTCCATTTCGAATGGTGTGCTTTAATTTGAGTCATCAGTGGACTTAGGCTTTTGGAGCAATGGTTAGTCAAACCGTTCTGATAATTTTGGAGAAACACACTTGATTGGTTCTTTGATTTTTCCACATACTGTACTAAGTATGATAATAAAAGAACAAGCCAAGTGATTTAACAGACAGCTGGAAACCGGGCCTTCTCGGCAGTGGCCCCTCAACTCTGGAACAGTCTCCCGTCAGAGATTTGCCTGGCTCACTCGCTGGGTGTTTTTAAGAGCCAACTTAAGACCTGGCTCTTTACTACTTGATCTTTATTTTTATATCTTTATTTTTTCCATCTTGAACGATATTGTTGTTTTAAATTGCTGTTTTTAACTGCTTTTATGCTATTTTTATTGTAAGCCGTCCAGAGTAGACTTGGTCTAAATGGGCGGGGTATAAATTTAATAAATAAATAAATAAATAAATATTAGGCTTGTGATAGTTACTTTTTAAAGAAGTCAAACATGGCCACTCCGGACAAGTAGCTTTTACAGGCTTATGGGAAGGAATTTGGCCTCTTCAATAGGTATCCACTATGATACCATATCTACAGGTAGAAACATGCTTACTCTGCAACTTCTTTGTTGGTGTAAACAATAATTTAATCTGTTAATTCCAAAGTAATGATTTATTTAATTAGATACTGGCTTTGTGATTTTAAAATTATTCATTTAGGTTACATTCTCCAGTATAAGCAGACTACTGTGGTTTCTGTATTGCATTGTCAAGTCACTCAACTAATAGTGACCCTATGAATTAATTACTCTCAAAAAGGCTTTATTATTATCAATCCAGCTGAGATCTTAGCAGTCTAAGGGCTGTTCAATCAATCCATCTGGTGTTGCATCTTCGTCATTTCCTCCTACTGTCAATATTTCCTAATTGTCTTTTTCCAGTGAGCCTTATTTTCTCATAATATGCCCCAAATACAGTAGCCTCTGACATCTGAGCGTTCAGCCTGGAGGCAGGCGGTGCATCATGGCCTCTTGCATTTTGAAGAGACACTCATCCAGCAGGCCAAGGCAAAGAGGCAGTCCTGAAACCAGCAAAATCAGGGAGCTGGACAGGGATCAGATTGTATTTGTCTTCAGTGTGGAAGGGATTGTCACTCTCAAATTGGGCTCCTCAGCCACACTAGATGCTGTTCCAAGTCCTCTTTTCAGAGCATGTAACCCTAGTCTCTCGAGACTGAAGGATGCCTAATCTGATCTAATAGCATCAATTTAACTATTTTTGCTTCTATTCAAAGATCAGGCTTGATTTGTCTGGTCTACCATGTATTTGTAAATTTCTCCCAACATTTCAGATGAATCAATTGCAGAGTGTAGAAGTTGGGAAAAGTAAAAAAATATATATATATTTTATTTAAAGTTAACACCATTGTATTGTTAATACATGCAGCAGATGGAGAGAGCAGAATGGTCAAACAGTTTGAACAGGCATGTTCTCTCTCATACTGTCCCACAAATGTGTTTGCTAATCTTCTTGCAGCAACCATGACATCCCTTTGGCTGTTTGTGACCTCACCAGTGAGGACAGAACACAATGGCAGTCCTGGAGACCAGTGCCAGTATGGATGTGAGGAATGAGTACGCTAGCAAGAGCCCAAAACAGAGCTCAAATTATCTCAGCTACTAGTGAAACATTCTAGAACCATTAGTGTGGAGCTGGCATAACCAAAGTTAATCTTAGAAAATGGAATTTTCGCACTGACAGAAGAAATGGCAACTTCATACCTATGTCATACTCTGCATCCTCAAACATGTATTATGGAAGTCTTGATGTTAGCTGCATCAGACACTCTTGATGTTGGGTGAAGATTATCTGATATATTCATTAATTGTACTCTGGTGCTTCTGATAGTTGCACAATCAGATATGTGGACTGCCTGTAATTCCCTATGAACTTATGCAGAGGTAACTTTATACTACCCCATGTTCAGCAGGATTTCAGCATATATATAAAGCATCAATAGAGGACTGGTGAAACTTTAAATTGTTAATGACGGATGAGAAACAAAATTAAAAGGTAGCAAATGCAGACAGAATCCTCAATGCAACTTTTCAGTGACTTGCTGATAGGGACAGAGGTAAAAGGGAACTGTTATAGTAACTATTGCAAAGAAACAGAAGAGATCTCTTACAGAAGAACCAAGAAATAAAAGGGAAATTTAAACTAAGATGAGCACTGCTGAAGATGAGCACTTTTTGTGCCCAGGACTGAGCTGCAAGCAAGAGGAGCTGCTGGTCTCCCTTGTTTTGTGGCTCTCCAGAGCAAATATTTGCAGTGATGGGACTTAGAAAGATCCTTTGGGCTTTCAGGCATATGTGGAGGTGGTGCATGTTTTTCTGTGGAGGTACCTCAGAGGTCGAGATGGAACCTGAAATGCCACTGTGGAGGGGGGAAAAAGGAGCCTCAAGAGGAAAAGGAGCAGGAGGTAAAGGCAGACTTGAGGACTTCAGCTTCCTTGGGTTCAGTGAACACTGGGGACCCGGAAGGCCCTGCTGATGATCTTGAGAGAATCTCTGAGGAACATCAAAAAGAGGAGGAGCAGCTGAACGCTCCAGTGGAAGCTTCAGTTTCGTGGGATTCGCTGGAAGTGCAGCCCCCCAGCAGAACCAGGAGCAGCCAAGATGTCTCCTGAGAGGACCTGCCCTCTGACCTGGACAGACCTCTGGAGATGCCCTCAACTTCAGAGGAAGCTGAACATCTTCGACCCAGGTCCCCTTTGCCTTCGCCTACCCACGGTAGGGGCGACGTCAGAGAACCTGCTCCCAGCATCTACAGCGAGTTCCAGCTGCAGATGTAAGGCTAGAGCAGTCCTGCGCGGCCTTTGGTTTCCAGGGCTCCAGTTCATCTTGAAGCCCTGGGAAGCAGAATGATCAGCCCCCAGGACTTTCTGGAGGACCTAATCAA